GAAGAAAAAAGTTGACAAATGATGTAAAATCCTGCACCTTCTACTTGTTTGTACAATTTTCCCTCTGTTACTTTTCCCTCCGTTACCATGACCTTTCTTAATAAAAAATCTCATGAGTCAAAAAGTCAGAGGTTTTTCAACCTAATCTTGTACCATATGGTAGAAAACTATATGAAGCAAATATTCAAACCAGTTTGTTAAGGATATGGAAGTGAGAACCAAGAGTTATCACTGTTTGGATTTATTGACCAAAAAGTGCTGCATATTTCATTCCCTCCGTTACCGACATGAGTTTTTAAATTTTTTGTCAAAAACTTGAAAGAATCTCACAGGTTTAACTTGACCCTGTTGGAGTGTAACTCTTTCCTACATTCTGATACTTTACTTATTTCAATAGTTCCTCTAGTTTCTGAATAAGAGACATTTGAATGTCAAAAATCTGCCCCTGTTTCCCTCCGTTACCACTTGATCGGACCCATGAGTGAATTAGAGATGAACCAACACCACTTTTTGAAAAACGTTACGAGTATAATCATTTCTGTACTTGCCGATACTCGGTATCGATACCGATAACGATACTTTAACACCCTCATGAACATACAGTGAAATAAATGGAAATGCTGATTTTATTTTTACTCTTTGATCATTACAAAATGTGATGCTTCATGTGGACGAGTTAAAGCCTCATCTGTCCACTGCGCTATCAAACTTAAAAGGGACATCGGGCAGAGGCCAGTGTTTCCTGCAGCGCTTTATGGTTAAGGCTCCCTCCTTGACTACCTCCCTCCAAAATCACGTGAATCTTCGCAAAACTACGGTCGTCGCGTGGAATCTCACCCCGAGCTCCTCACTTCTTCTCCGTGCACAGAATCTCCTCACTTTTTCACACTAATTTTCTGCGGGAAACACTGGACGCTGCTTCTCCAAATATGAGTCGTGAAGCTTATTGACTCGATGTCATGAACCATTGACCTAACCTGAGTTTTCACAGCCTCAGTTATTTTTACTGCCCGAGTCTTTGGACATTTCCTCTCGCTTTTTGAAAACTTCAGTTCAGTCTTCAAACGTTTGGTTAAATTGCTCGTATTAAATGAGGTGTTTTCCCTTCCACCTCTCCACACTTTGGCACTAAATCATTTGCGATCTGCTTTCCTCTTGTCGTCCTCCCTAACACTAGAACACTTCCAAACTGCTGACGACGACATGATGAGAATTATTTACCCAGATGACTCTTCTGGGTCTTCTGACTCTTCGTCTCCCCCTGAACACTGAAGTTGGCCTCCTGAACGTGACTAATGATGCTGTGTAGTGGTATCGACAAATGTTTAACAAGTACAAGTATATTAAGAAAGTCTCAGTGCATCCCTAGTGTGAATGAAACAAAACACGACTGTCTCATGAAGAAAACAACATTAGAACATAGATCAGAGTTGCGCGACTGGGCCCTTTAAGGCGTCCTCACCGAATCCTCTGGAGGTCGGCTGATTTTGGCCCAGTCGATCGCCGGACCTTTGACCTGAAGGAACCGGTGGAACAACTTCTTAAAGCCATCGAAGTCCTTCCTGGAAATCTGCAAATAAGAAAAACAACACTGAGTTAAGAGGTTGTGGGTTAGACTCGTGGCCTGTGTGTGTGTGGAGTGAGTCGCCTAATAAGGAAGGAAACGGAACTTGGAACAGAAATACTTCAAGATATTTGGACCGAAGGGCTAATTTACAGTGTGTGGGGTTAAAAACGTAAAAATCTGAAACCAGCCTCCAGAGTGGAAAAGTTGAAAACACTCTGCCGTGGTGTTTCCGTCCACACTGCCCAAGACGCAAAACTCTGGTCAGATCTGCTCAGGTCAGGTACACGTTTACATCACATAATGTATTTTCCGGGCTATAGGACGCGCTCTTACGCCTCCAACCCCGTCAAAAAACGACAATCCAGAGCGCCCCATACAAGAATCCACTCGGGCGTCCCAGCACGACTTCAGTAAACTACAAAGCCGCAAACACACACGGAAGAAACAGCGACCGCACGGCGAAAAACACCCACAGACACACTCATCACTCCACGCCGACGAGGAACGGAAGGGAGGAACGAACCGAAAAAGCGACGAGCGCGACGTGCCGCTTCTAGACACGACTGAACAACTGAGTCACTGCGAACACGCCGACAATCCAGCGACAGACACTACTCCCTACACGCCACAACTGAACACAGCCCAGAGTCACCGTGAACGAACAAACAAACAAAACCACTCACCCATCACACTGTTGGGTTTCATTTAAAGTCCCACGCGGTTTATTTGTGAAAAAAGTTCAAAAATAGACCATTTAATGATGTCTTATAATGCATGTTATAATCTAGAGCACAGGTGTCAAACATACGGCCCGGGGGCCAGATCCGGCCCTCCAAGACCTTTAATCTGGCCCTCGGCTGATTTTCTACAGAACTATTTTAATTATATTTTCTATTAAAATCGTGTTAATTTTCTGTGGTGTTTATCACAGCAGCGTCTCCAGCGTCTCTGTACGTGGCCCCTCCCACCAGAGCAGCACAAATGAAGACTTGTCTCTTTCCAAACGCTCTTAAAGGACGATCGTTTTGACTGTTGACCGTGACACCCTCATCAGAAAAATGTCACACATGAGAAAAGTGGAGCCGAGTGCAGGATTTTACAACAAAAATGAACTTATTTCTATTTACAAACAAGTTCATGTTAAAACTTTGTGTTGAAATTGTATTTTTCTTAAAGTTTCAGGTTGTTCATGATATTATAATATTGTGTAAAAGAAAGAGTTCATCAATTAAAAAAGATTTCTGTAATAGATTTGTGTTTCTCTGCACAAATATTTGAACTTATTGCTATTTTTGGGGTATATATGAGTTTTCTGATCCAGCCCCTTTGGGATCAAAGTCGGTTGGATACGGCCCCCGGACCAAAATGAGTTCGACACCCCTGGTCTAGAGCGAATAATAGCTCGGAAAATACAGTACATCACCACCGAGCGTCACCACCGAGCCGCCTGGCATACATACACAATCAAATTCCACACACTTTCGCGTCACCGTATTCAGCAGATTTCCACCTGAAAACGCTCATCTAAACGTGGAATAAAAAGTGAAGACGCAACACCACTTTCACGTCTTCTGTTCAGACTGTCACCATATAAAAGAAGCCTGAGATTACAATGTTTCTGGGTATTAATGTTTTTTGTTTGTTTTTTTCTCAAAACTTAGAATAACTTAAATGAAAAAAATATATATTGCAAAAATATTGGAATATCGATATCAGGGGTTGATGTATCAATATATCGTAAAGAGTATTTTTTTTGTATATTTTACAAAATTATTTAGTGAAAGAGCTACAATTGTGTTGCTTGTTTGGAGAAAGGAAACTTGTTTATAGGGCTGGGTATCATTAAAAAAGTTGCCGATATGATACATACTTTGATACAGTGAACTTTCAATTTGATATATTTCAAATTGATTTGATACAGTTCAATAAAAAATAAAGTCTAAATTATGTCTGTGACACTAAAAGTCTTTGTTAAACCACTTCTTCTTGTGCAAAGTTCATATGAAACACAAACATTTTAATCATCAAAACAGTGAAAATGTCAAATGTGTCGCATAAACGAGTTTCCTTCTTCTAAACTTGCAACAAAACTGCAGCTGTAACAAAATAATTTAGCAAAATATACCAAAAAATACTCAATACAGCAGCCCACGATATCGATACTGTATCATCACATTAAACGATACGATATATCGATCGACCGCTACTTGTTTACGCAGCACATTTGATGTTTTCTCTGATTTTGATGAGTTGTTTTTGCACAAACTTAGTGGTTTAATAAAGACTTTTAGTATCACAGACATGATTTGGTCTTTGTTATTTACTGAACTCTAGCTGAACTCTATTTTGAAATATATCATATCAAATCGTACTAAATCGAAAGTACACAGTATCGAAAAACGCATTGCATCGCAGTCTGTGTATCGAGGTATGTATCATATCGGCAACTTTTTAATGATACCCGGCCCTAGAGTGGACTTCAGTGATGATGGAAACCCGTCATATTCAAAAAGACGATTTTGAGCAAATGTGGAAACGGTTCACTTCAGATCTGGACGACATGTGCTGAAAAATGTTCAGTGTGAATCCAGAAGGGATTAAATATTGAATCGTGTTTGAAAAAGAGCCGTCAAAATATTCAAAAACAGACACAGATCGATACTAAGACTTTTTTTTTTTTTTGAGCAGGTATCGATACTAAAAAAAGTCCCATTCACAAGACAGAAATGAAGCTTTCCTGAAACTTTAGAACGATCTTGAGTTAAGTATAAGAGCAAAGACCAACCAATTTTCTGTGGGAAACGCTGATTACTAGGGCTGGTATCATTAAGAAGCTGCCGATATGATACAAATCTCGATACAGTGCACTTTCAATTCGATACGATTCAGCAAAAAATAATGGCTAAATCATGACTGTGACACTAAAAGTCTTTGTTAAACCACTTCTTCTTGTGCAAAATTCTGATGAAACACAAACATTTTAATCATCAAAACAGTGAAAATGTCAAATGTGTCGCATAAATAAGTTCCCTTCCTCTAAACAAGAAGCAAAACTGAAGCTGTGACAAAATTATTTAGTAAAATATACCAAAAAAAAATACTCAATACAGCAGCCCACGATATCGATACTGTATCATCACATTAAACGATACGATATATAGATATTTCGATATTTTTGCACACCCCTACTGATTACTGTTTTTTTCATTGTTTAAAACATGAGTACCGTATTTTCCAGACTATAAAGCGCACTTAAAATCACTTAGTTTTCAGAAAAATCGACACTGCGCCTTATGTATTCATTCTGGTCGTGTTTTCTGACCTCAAACCGATTTTCACAAATATTCCGCTGAGTACGAATCCAGAAGGGACCTGTTCAAATTTTAGATGAGTTTCTGTATTCTGTATTTAGAATGATATTTTTTCTTGTTCTTTTTATTTGCCCAAATGAACTTGACTTATTAGAAGCATCGTTGTACAAATCCACACTGGTTTGTTAAAAATATATATGTGAAACAAGTTGTCTAATAGGAGAATATATATGATTGTAAGATAAAGGGTTTCAAAATGGCTCTAAATCTGTGTGTCATTCGTTCATTCGTTTTTCAATATAAAACCAAAAGTAAGAAAATGAAAAAAAAAAAAAAACTATTTTCTTCATTATTTGTCTCCAAAACCAAAACCAAAAAACGGATAACAATTTGTTTTTTCAGTTTTCGATTTTGTGTTTAAATGAAGAATGGAAAAAACGGATAACGGCCGTTTCCCGTTTACGTGACTCCTGTGACTGCAATGCCGGACTGAACCGGGACTGAGACCAGACCGGGACCAGACTGGACTCCAAGCTTTGACTCTGAGCTTCTGCAGGGTCCGAGCCTCAGCTTCAAGCTTTGCCTCCGGTCTGGTCCCGGTCTGGTCCCGGTCTGGTCCCGGTCTGGTCCCGGTCTGAGTCCCGGTCTGGTCCCGGTCCCGCTCTGGTCCCGCTCTGGTCTCGGTCTGGTCTCGGTCTGAGTCCCGGTCTGAGTCCCGGTCTGAGTCTGAGTCCCGGTCTCGGTCCCGGTCTGGTCCCGGTCTGGTCCCACTCTGGTCCCACTCTGGTCCCACTCTGGTCCCACTCTGGTCCCACTCTGGTCCCGGTCTGGTCTGGTCTTGGTCTGAGTCCGGTCTGAGTCCCGGTCTGAGTCCCGGTCTGAGTCCCGTCTGAGTCCCGGTCTGAGTCGGTCTGAGTTCTGGTCTGAGTCCCGGTCCCGGTCTGGTCCCGTTCTGGTCTCGGTCTGGTTCCGGTCTGAGTCCTGGTCTGGTCCCGGTCTGGTGCCGGTTTCAGTCTGTCTCGGTCCCGGTCTCGGTCCCGGTCTCGGTCCCGTCCGGTCTCTGGCTCAGTCCCGGTCTCGGTCCCGGTCTCGGTCCCGGTCTCAGTCCCGGTCTCGGTCCCAGTCCCGGTCTCGGTCCCGGTCTCAGTCCCGGTCTCAGTCCCGGTCTCGGTCCCGGTCCCGGTCTGGGCTCAGTCCCGGTCTCGGTCCCGGTCTGGTCCCGGTCTCAGTCCCGGTCTCAGTCCCGGTCTCAGTCCCGGTCTCAGTCCCGGTCTCAGTCCCGGTCTCAGTCCCGGTCTCGACCTGGATCGGTCCTGGTTCAGTCCATACGCGGTGCAACAGTCCGGCATCACAGTCACGTAAACGGGAAACGGTCCTTATCTTTTTTTCCCCCCATTTTTCATTTAAACACAAAATCAAAAACTGAAAAAAAAACAAACAAATCATTATCGTTTTTTGTTTTTTTTTCATTTTAATTTTGGAGACAAATAATGAAGAATACAGTTGTTTTTTTCATTTTCTTATTTTTGGTTTTATGTTGAAGAACGAATGAACGAACGACACACGGATCGCTCGAGTTTGGCAATACTTAAATCCAGATAAGAGTCGGTCCGTGTTAGTCTCCTGGAGTTCACTCACCTGTTACGTAACTGCTCAAACACTGATAGAGCAAAAAAAAAAAAACAGACGGCAAATATTAAACCAGAGCAGAAAGTGGACCGTGATTTTTAAAAGGTCCCGTATTACGCAAAACGGACTCTTGTGAACTTTAAGTCGTGTTTCGTTTCATTTACGTTTATTTTTAGTCTGTCTACATCTCCAAAGATCAAAACGCTCTGCTCCACCTTGTGATGTCATGAAGAGGTAGTTTAGGTAGGAGCTAGAAGCAACATAAAGCAGGACTAGACCGAGACTAAAAGAAGAATAAACCAGGACTGAACCAGGACTGAACCAAGAATAAGTCAAGAATAAACCAGGACTAAACCAGGATTAAAACAGGTCTAAACCAGGACTCAAGCAGGACTCAAGCAGGACTCAAGCAGGACTAAACCAGGACTGAACAAAAGGAACTAAAGCCAAGACTAAACCAGGACTAAACCAGGACTAAACCAGGACTAAACCAGGACTAAACCAGGATTAAACCAGGACTAAACCAGGACTAAACCAGGATTAAACCAAGACTAAACCAGGACTAAACCAGGATTAAACCAGGATTAAACCAGGATTAAACCAGACTAAACCAGGACTAAACCAGGATTAAACCAGGATTGAACCAGGATTAAACCAAGACTAAACCAGGACTAAACCAGGACTAAACCAGGACTAAACCAGGACTAAACCAGGACTAAACCAGGACTAAACCAGGACTCAACCAGGATTGAACCAGGATTAAACCAAGACTAAACCAGGACTCAACCAGGACTCAACCAGGACTAAACCAGGACTCAACCAGGATTGAACCAGGATTAAACCAAGACTAAACCAGGACTCAACCAGGTCTAAACCAGGACTAAACAAAGACTAAACCAGGAATAAGCAAGAATAAGCCAGGACTAAACCAGGACTCAACCAGGACTCAACCAGGACTCAACCAGGACTCAACCATTACTAAAATAAGAATAAACCAGGACTGAACCAGGACTAAGCCAAGAATAAACGAGAACTGAACAAGGACTCATCAAGGAGCAGGGCTGTAGGTGAGCATAAAATAAATATACATAAACATGAAATTAAAATTTATGGTTACGCTTTCTTCAGTACGAATACGAATTCAGAGACGCGACTCGACTGTCAAAAATACATCCTGGTTTGGTCCTGGTTCAGTCCGGTTTGAGTCCTGGTTGAGTTCTGGTTGAGTCCTGGTTGAGTCCTGGTCTAGTCCTGGTTTAGTCCTAGTCCTGGTTTAGTCCTGGTTTAGTCCTGGTTTAATCCTGGTTTAGTCCTGGTTTAGTCCTGGTTCTTCTGCTCAATATATAATGCCTTAAGTGAAGTGAAGTAATGATTTTTTATTTTTATTTTTTTTACAGTCAAATCGTGTCTATGAATTCATATTCGTACAGAAAAAATAATAATCGTAAATTTTCATTTGGTGATTTTTAATTCTTGACGTCGTAACTTTTCAATTCATATTCTGATACAATAAATACAATAAAATACACGCAACACATTTTATGTACGACCGGACTAATTTCAGAGTTTACAAATATTTATTTTACGCTCAACTACAGACAAATATGCACAGATTTCTATCCTATGCACACGAATACTTCTGAAAGCTTTTTTACTTGAAAATTACCGCTTCATGACATCACAAGGTGGACCAGAGCTTTTTGAGCTTTGCAGATGTAAACAGACTAATAATAAAAAGTTACTCAAACATGTGAATGAAACAAAACACAAGTCCAGGTCTGTTTTTTGAGGAGGGAACAACATTAAAACAGGACTTAAAGCTCACAAGAGTCCATTTTTGTTGTAATATGTATCTAGGGTTTACTTTGGGACGTTATTTAAGATGAGTACATTCTGTTTTTTTGTTTTTTTTACATTTTTTGAATTTGAAACATAAAGATATATACACTGGTGTGCAGTGTTGGGAAGGTGACTTTTAAAATGTAATCCCCTACAGATTACAGATTACATACACCAAAATGTAGTTTGTAACATAATCCATTAAATTACTTAAAGTGAGTAATGTAATCTGAATACTTTGGATTACTTGATTTGCTGTAGAGAAACAAAGACGAGGACATTTTCACATAAGATGTTTTGTCTGATAAAAGAAAATTAAAAGCCCAGACTTTACTGAATCAAATAAAAAATATTATTGATAAAAGACGAGGAAACAGAGTCCACACAGCAGGATTTATTCCTGTTAAATCCTGGTTTAGACCTGGTGGTTTAGACTCATTTTAGACCTATTTTAGACCTGGTTTAGTCTTGGTTTAGACCTGGTTTAAACCTGGTTTAGACCTATTTTAGACCTGGTTTAGTCCTTGGTTTAGTCCTAGTTTAGTTTAGTCCTGGTTTAGTCCTGGTTTAGACCTGGTTTGGTTTAGTCCTGGTTTTAGTCCTGGTTTGGTTTAGTCCTGGTTTTAGTCCTGGTTTGGTTTAGTCCTGGTTTAGACCTGGTTTGGTTTAGTCCTGGTTTTAGTCCTGGTTTGGTTTAGTCCTGGTTTTAGTCCTGGTTTGGTTTAGTCCTGGTTTAGTCCTGGTTTGCTTTAGTCCTGGTTTAGTCCTGCTTTAGCCCAAAATATGAAAACAGGAAAATCCCGCCATGTAATCATTTATTTCAACAAAGTAACTGTAATCTAATTGCCACTCACTGAAACAGTAACTGTAACTGAATACAGTTACTCATCATTTGTACTCTGATTACTCTGGTACATGTAATCTGTTACTCCCCAACACTGCTGGTGTGTCCTTTGGAATCGTACCAAAAGGAGTGATGTTTTTGCATCCTGTTTGTTTAGCCCTCGGCCTTGACCCTCGCTGACGTTAGAACGTACGCTCGGGAGGGACATTTAAGGTGAGGAGGTTTAAAAGCCGCATTACGCAACTTTTCTGGGGGACGGTCCGCCGTGGAGATGTTACCGCGCTACCTGGAATGTAGCCGTTTTTAAAAAATGAATGCCGTTAAAAATTGTTTTGCGTCAAGTCATTAATAGAGCGATATTTTTGAGAGCTCTGTCAAAACATCTACAATTTCACAGCAGAATCTACAGAAACTGTTTCATTTTACTGAACAGAAAGATTAAAAAATATTTAGTAGTGGTAGTAGAAGTAGTAGTAGTAGTAGTAGCAATATAAGTAGTAGTAGTAGTAGTAGCAGCAATGGTAGTAGTAGTGGTAGTAGCAATAGTAGCAGTAGTAGTAGTAGTAGAAGTAGTTGTTGTAGCAGCATTAGTGGCTGTAGTAGTAGAAGTAGTAGTAGTAGTAGTAGTAGTAGTAGTAGTAGTAGTAGTAGTAGTAGTAGTAGTAGTAGTAGTAGTAGTAGTAGTAGTAGTAGTAGTAGTAGTAGAAGTAGTAGTAGAAGTAGTAGAAGAAGTAGTAGAAGAAGAAGTAGAAGTAGTAGTAGAAGTAACAGTAGTAGCAGTAGTAGAAGAAATAGTAGTAGTAGGAGTAATAGTAGTAGTAGTAGTAGTAGTAGTAGTAGTAGTAGTAGTAGTAGTAGTAGTAGTAGTAAAAGTAGTAGAAGAAGAAGTAGAAGTAGTAGTAGTAGTAGTAGAAGTAACAGTAGTAGTAGTAGTAGAAGAAATAGTAGTAGAAGTAGAAGAAGTAGTAGAAGAAATAGTAGTAGTAGAAGTAATAGTAGTAGTAGAAGTAATAGTAGTAGTAGGAGTAATAGTAGTAGTAGAAGTAGTAGAAGAAATAGTAGTAGTAGAAGTAATAGTAGTAGTAGAAGTAATAGTAGTAGTAGTATAGTAAGTAAAGTAGTAGTAGTAATAGTAGTAGTATAGTAGTAGTAGTAGTAGTAATAGTAGTAGTAGAGTAGTAGTAGAAGTAGTAATAGTAGTAGTAGTAGAAGTAATAGTAGTAGTAGTAAGTAGTAGTAGTAGTAGTAGTATAGTAGTAGTAGAAGTAATAGTAGTAGTAGAAGTAATAGTAGTAGTAGAAGTAGTAGTAGTAGTAGGAGTAATAGTAGTAGTAGAAGTAGTAGAAGAAATAGTAGTAGTAGAAGTAATAGTAGTAGTAGTAGTAGTAGTAGTAAGTAGTAGTAGTAGTAGTAGTAAGTAGTAGTAGTAGAAGTAGTAGAAGAAATAGTAGTAGTAGAAGTAAGTAGTAGTAGTAGTAGTAGTAGTAGTAGTAGTAGTAAGTAATAGTAGTAGTAGAAGTAATAGTAGTAGTAGGAGTAATAGTAGTAGTAGAAGTATAGAAGAAATAGTAGTAGTAGAGTAAATAGTAGTAGTAGAAGTAATAGTAGTAGTAGAAGTAATAGTAGTAGTAGAAGTAATAGTAGTAGTAGAAGTAATAGTAGTAGTAGGAGTAATAGTAGTAGTAGGAGTAATAGTAGTAGTAGGAGTAATAGTAGTAGTAGAAGTAGTAGTAGAAGTAGTACTAGTAGTAGAAGTAGTAGTGGCCGTTAAAAACATGAATGCCATTAAAATAGTTTCGTGTTAACTCATTAATAACGCAGTATTTTTGAGAGCTCAGTCAAAACTTTAACACTTCAGGCTCATTCAGAGCAGAAGCTAAGATGTTATCGTAGATCAAAGCCGCACGCTCGCGTCACTCAACATTTGCTTAGCCTTTCCCCTTGACCCCTCCCTGACCTCTGACCCCTCCCTGACCCCGCGTGACTCTCTCTGACCTCCTGTTCTTTGGGGTCGGCGGTGGTTAAGAGCGTCTCCAGCTCGCGGTGCATCGACTCCTCGTGCTGCCGCCGAAGCTTCTCCTGGAACTCCGACATGCCTCCGCGCTCCAAATCTGGACAAACAAAACAAAAACAAACAAACAAACACAAAATCAGTACTCAACCATGTTTGAAAAAGAGCCGTCAAAAGAATCGAAAAACAGACACTGATCGGTACTAAAACTTTAGGTATCGATACAAAAAAAAGTCCCATTCACAAGACAGAAATGAAGCTTTAGAAGGATCTAGAGCTGAATCAGAACAAGTATAAGAGCACAGAGACTAGTCCAAACTATTTTCTGTGGGAAACACCGATTATTAAGGCTGAGTATCATTGAGTGCGTATTAGGGACGGGCATTCGATGAAATTTTCTTAGTCGATTGTCGAGAGAATTAACGATCAATTATCGATTAATCATTAACGTTTTTATATTAAAATGATCATTATTATTATGACTATCTGCACTAATCTGCATAAATAAATTCAACTTTACGACATATAAACATAACGACTCTAGATCCACATCAGCTGTTTGACATTATAATGTGTTTAATTCAGTTTTGTTCAAATCTCACAGAAACAAAACTTAAAACCACATCACTAATTTACATAAACTAAGTGAAGATAAAACTCCAGCTCTTGTGTCGCTGATGTGGTTCAACTTGTGTTGGATTAAAAGACATGACTCAGGTGAATACAGGTCAGTGTGACCAGATTTGTGTTTGTCAAAACCAGGACAGCGTACGGGGGGAGGGGGGCGGGGCCTCGTCATCCACATTGAGCGACTCTCACCTGGAAAAACTTTTTCCACTGGACACAGAAACATATGTGCTGCTTTATCCACTGTGCACATGGACTCACACTTGTCCCAACGCAACGGAAAGTGTGGAATTTCTTCTACAAATCATCGTTAAATACACATATGCACTTCGGTACGTTGCAGGCGAACTGACTGTTTGTGTCTCGCTCCTTCTGAGTGCAGAGAGCTACTTGTACGGACCCCCGTTTGGTCACGCTATGAACAGCAACCTGCATTCGGTTTGTCGATTAAAATTTACGTAATCGATGAAATTCTTAATGATCAATTATCGATTCAACGACTATCATGGCCATCCCTAGTGCGCATACATGCACATCAATAACCCGGTTATGATCGGGTTTTTTGAGTATCCTGGTTTCTTGATGGTGCATGTAAACGCAGTAACCCGGTTATGGCAGTGTCCCGGTTATTAGAAACCGAGTTACTGTAGCTGGTTTATTCCGATAGTAACCGGGTTACTTGTGGCATGTAAACGCAGTACCCCGGTTACTGCAACATAAAGTTGAGTGCGCATGCGTCCAAAAGACACTTTCCAGCCTTTCACCACAACAGTAACGACATAAATAAATTGACCAACATAAATAAAGTGACCAAACGAGTGAAATGACTGTAAAATAAAGAGCTGCGCTAAACCTGCACACGTACAATCTGCACTCGTGTGACGCTGAAAAGCTAAAACATGAACTATGTCCTATACTCTATACACACAGAACAGACTCACCATCATCAGCACCTCTTCTGTCACAAAAAGAACTCACATAATCCACAGAGTCGTGTCATTTAGTCCAAAAGAAACTGAACCACATCAGGAGCGTACAGAGAGAATACAGTAATACTAATACTTGTAATACTTGTTCAGAGACACAATCACTCAGTCAACAATAAAATATCATCATTAATGTTCAATGCTGCTCACAAATTTATTTAGCGATTTCCGGAATGTTCCACAGTGCGGCATTAAACCTTTCTATCTTCACGGAGACCAAACCGGACCAAGTTCCAGGTCAGATCTGTGGAGAGGCGACCCCGCCCACAGCCAGAATGTCCGTTTTTCTCGGTATTTTTGCGCTCTAAAACCACCTGTAACTGAATAAATGTAATAAAGTAGAGCTGTTTAATGTCACACTGTGGAACATTCCAGGCAGAGCAATGACGTCTCCATAGAAACGAGCAGGTGACGGACGCCGAACCGAAAAGTTACATCGTCGACTAAAGGATGATAGGCCTTAATTAAAAAGGAAATAAGTCAAATTTGTTGATCTGAGGCCAGCAGGGGGCGCGTGGACTCCTGCCGCAGACGCACTGAGACACGCCGAGGAGTGAAGCAGCTTAAATCGGGTTTAAAGTAGTCGCTGTTAAGGTCAAAGTTGGAAAGCTGCGGAGCGAAGGACGAGTCAGAGAGAGAAAACGCGACGTGACCTTTAAAAGTACAACTCTGACACAAACACGGACACAGAATCTAAGAAATCTGTTTCATTTATATTTAACTGAACAGAACGATGAAAAAATACTTAGTAGCAGAAGTAGTAGTAGAAGAAAAAGTAGTAGTAGTTGTAGCTGAAGTAGTAGTAGTAGTAGTAGTAGTAGAAGCAGCAGTAGTAGTAGTAGTAGTAGTAGCAGTAGTAGTAGTAGCAGCAGCAGTGGTAGAAGTATTAGTAGTAGAAGTAGTAGAAGTAGTAGTAGTAGTAGTAGAAGAAGTAGAAGCAGCAGCAGTAGTAGTAGTAATAGTAGTAGTAGTAGTAGTTGTTGTAGTTGCAGTAATTGTAGTAGTAGCAGCAGCAGCAGTAGTAGAAGTAGTGGTAACAGAAGTAGCAGTAGTAGTAGTAGTAGTAGCAGTGGTAGAAGTATTAGTAGTAGAAGTAGTAGTAGTAGTAGTAGAAGAAGTAGAAGCAGCAGCAGTAGTAGTAGTAATAGTAGTAGTAGTAGTAGTAGTTGTAGTTGCAGTAATTGTAGTAGTAGCAGCAGCAGCAGTAGTAGAAGTAGTGGTAACAGAAGTAGCAGTAGTAGTAGTAGTAGTAGCAATGGTAATAGTAGTAGCAGCAGTGGTAGAAGTATTAGTAGTAGTAGTAGTAGTAGTAGAAGTAGTAGAAGTAGTAGTTGTAGTAGCAGTAATGGTAGTAGTATTAGTAGTAGCAGAAGTAGTAGAAGTAGTAGCAGTAGTAGTAATAGCAGTAGTTGCAGTAGCAATAGTAGCAGTAGTAGTAATAGTAGTAGTTGCAGTAGCAGTAGTAGCAGTAGTAGTAGTAGAAGTAGTAGTTGTAGTAGCAGTAATGGTAGTAGCAGAAGTAGTAGAAGTAGTAGCAGAAGTAGTAGAAGCAGTAGCAGCAGTAGTAATAGCAGTAGTTGCAGTAGCAATAGTAGCAGTAGTAGTAATAGTAGTAGTTGCAGTAGCAGTAGTAGCAGTAGTAGTAATAGTAGTAGTTGCAGTAGCAGTAGTAGCAGTAGTAGTAATAGTAGTAGTTGCAGTAGCAGTAGTAGTAATAGTAGTAGTTGCAGTAGCAGTAGTAGTAATAGTAGTAGTTGCAGTAGCAGTAGTAGTAATAGTAGTAGTTGCAGTAGCAGTAGTAGCAGTAGTAGTAATAGTAGTAGTTGCAGTAGCAGTAGTAGTAATAGTAGTAGTTGCAGTAGCAGTAGTAGCAGTAGTAGTAATAGTAGTAGTTGCAGTAGCAGTAGTAGTAATAGTAGTAGTTGCAGTAGCAGTAGTAGCAGTAGTAGTAATAGTAGTAGTTGCAGTAGCAGTAGTAGTAATAGTAGTAGTTGCAGTAGCAGTAGTAGCAGTAGTAGTAATAGTAGTAGTTGCAGTAGCAGTAGTAGTAATAGTAGTAGTTGCAGTAGCAGTAGTCGCAGGTCTAGAGAAATTAATCACATTTAAAATCATGATTTCAATTATTACTTAATTCAGTTACTGAAGTATTGTCATAAAAATACAATTCATTAAAGTAAAACAAACTC